TTCCTACAACACCAGAGGCGACCACAATACGGAATATGTTGAGGGGACTCTCGAAATCACCTGTGAACATTACCAGACGTTGTATAGCGTTATGTCGGAGGATGAACTTTTTCACGAAGTGCTCAAAAGACCCCACAATTGTAGCATAAAACATTCAAATCTTTCTATGATAGAAAAGTGCGATCCAGAATTCTACATTTTCCCGTCCAACATCAAACCACCGCAGTCGTGCGTAATCAATGACCGGAAACTTGAACAGTATTGCCAACATATAACACACCCTGCATTCAGAACAAACCGAGATGGTTTGAATCTGTTCTGTTTACTTTGTCAAGGGTTGACTCTCGAATTAGGACAAGCTATTTTATATCCTCCTTCCAGAACGACGCCTCATCCTCCTCCTGGATATCTCATCCCTCCCCTGAAATTGCTGCTTGGCGTAACAAAGAAACCCTTTGATCTTGAGACTGCTCAAAATGAGTGCTCCAACACCACATGGAGAAAAAATGTCAACCAGGTGAGCAATTATCAGATTCGTTGAAATGATTACCACTCCCCCCCCCCCCCCCCCCCCCCCGTGCTGAGTGGGACACAGCACAGCAGCATACAGACGTGGATAGTCGCCCAAAGAAATGTTCCCTGTGTGGGAATCGAACTCACATCTTTGGCGTGTCACGGCCATCCTGTGATATTAATTTTTCTCTTTGGCTGATGAAAAGGGGACGTTGTATTTCAGGAGGCATTGTAGGTTAGCGTAATTGTGAAAAAAATACAACAGAAAAAAAACTATAACCAATATTTATGTAGTTTTGAAAACGTGAAAGTTACTGGGTGTCTAAATGAAAAAGTGGACCAACTAATAAGTAATTTTTTAATTTCCATTTTGTGGAATAATATAAAGACGATTTCGCAAAATGTCCCAGTATTTTTTTGTTCACGGGTGTCTAAAAAAGATAATCCGTTTAAAGGGCAATAGCTCGGTCATCGTTGGACCAATTTTGATTAAACTTGGCTTTTAAGAAATAAAATTCAACTAGGGGGACATCACAGTTATTAAAATGAAAGAAATTAACAACATTGTTGGAGAAAAATCAAGTTTTTAAAATTTCAACCAAAATTGAGGGAAACGCAAAACTTTGCAACTAATTAAAAATCAACCTTACTGATCTAGTCACTATAACAATTGTGCTTTGAAGAACAAATAATATAATGCACAAACAAGTGTATTGCCAAATAAACCAAGGGAGGTGACGCTATTTGAATCTCCAGAGATTTACCATTTAGTTTTCTCTCCCTGCAAGCTCCGATACATCACAGGACATTTTGAACAATCCCTTGGCGTTTTTTGGGGTCGATTCTTTGGGCATCCTTTTCTACATTGGTTTTCAACTGTTCGATCGTTTGTGGATTGTTTCCGTAGGCTCTGTCCATCAAAAATCCCCGAAGGTAATAATCTAAGAGGTTCAAGTTTGTTGGGAAGGGGGTGGCCATTCATCTATAAGTGTCCAGCTTATATATTTTTTTTATAGTAGAAGGTTTTACGGCGCTCGCAATTGCGTAAGGTTATATGAGCACCAAGGGATGGGTGTCAACACAGAAGTCTTTACAAGGAATCAGACTCAGACTGCTCATCTATCTAGCTTCAACAGCACAAGGTCTGCTTCGACTATCAATACACCCCGAAAATAGCAGGTCACTAGAGAGTGACAAACATACAAAAGAAGTAGAGGAAAATGACAATAGTAAGGATCAGGAAAGAAAAAGCAGAAGTTCCCTGTTGTAGATCAGGCACAGTTATGAGCGTGACATGAGTCAGCCCATTTACAATTCTACTATGTTTGAACGAGAAATGTCCCCCTTTGGGAATGGCCTAACGACACTACAGTCAGTGGCACTGCCCCGGGGGGTGTCCAGCTTGTAAGGCGTTCCCCGAACCTTTCTTGCAACCATACAAGGGCCTGTTTAGGCATTTGGGGTGTAGCCCCATCCCATTGGAGCCAGGCCTCTACTGCATAAAACCCCCCTTCTCCAAATTTCTCCCAAACTTTCTCAGCACGGTGAGACATCCATCTGATGTGACTGTCATGGTTTTGCCATCCTTGTCCTGTTACCAGAACGTACCAATCACATCCCTGTAGCTGTACGTTTCAAACAAGTGACATTTTATGTTTTTCCTAAATATTGTTGAAATTTTAAAAACTTGATATTTCGAGCACCCCTCCCTGGATTTTTTTCATTTTTACAAAGGGGATGTCCCCCAAGTTGAGTTTTATTTGTTCGAAGTTATAGTAACACTAGTACACTAAAGGCCGAGTTATTGCCCTTTAGGTATGTCCTTTTTTTAAGACACTATGGGTTTTTTGTCTGTTTGTTTATTTGTTTTGTTTGTTTTTGTTGCTTTGTTTTTTGTGTTACTTTAACGAAGTATTTTCTAAACCAAACATTCCACACCTCTATTCACCTGTCACAAGCAAAAGTGCGAGTTTTACTGCTTTAACTAAGATGTTTTGATCTAAAACACTGTGGACATATTGATCAAATCTTTTAGTAAATTCATCTTGAGTCAAAAATCGTCCTCCAACAGTTATACCCTGAATCCTAATTATCTCTCTTTCTTAACATAATGGAAGAAGGATTATCTCATTCTTAAATTTTATATGAGTATTATTAAAAAGAAGGTCTCTCCCAGAAGGAAAATCAAGTAAACAATTCTTTTCTGTACACTGCAGGCATTTTGTGATGACCTCTCGCCAGAATGGACTTGAAATAATATTCATTTCCTTAACGTCCTTACGCTTGAAGATATGTAAAACCTCAATATTCTTTAAGAAAGATTTTGCTATGCCTCTTCTGCCCACGCCAAACGTATTGAATCTTGGAAGCGAAATGTGTCTAGTATCCTCACCTCCCCCCCCCCCCTTTCATTGTCAACATCACAACAAAAACTTTGGGCTTCATCTTTTGATTATGTTTTTTTTTTGCAGTTAAATCGTTTTTCGTCACAAAAACCTCAACAACATAATAATTTGATTTACTTTTTCCAATACACTTTTTGGTAAGGAAATGCTTTGCATTATACGCTTGAATTGTGTTATGTCGCATATTTTTATAAAAGGTGATAGATCTTGCTGTGGCCATTTTCCCGGTGACTTTGTCTATCTTGGTGGTAAAATCATTGTTTATATCTACCGCTAGTTTATGACTACTAAAGTACAAACCGAAAGTCTTCATACAAGCTGTGAACTGTAATCTATACCTGAGGTACCAATATGCTGCCCGTTTGAAGACATGCAAATATTTTGACTAGGTTCAAATCGTCATCATCATCCGGTGCCTTACCGACTGGCGTGGGCGATCATGGACCTCCACTTCACTCTGTCTTGCGTGGCATCAATGGTGTCTCTTGTTCTTGCTGCTCCTAGCCATGTTGTCATCTTGTCCAGTATCTTTTCCCTCTGTCTGCCTCTGCCTCTCTTTCCATCAAACGTGCCTGTTGTTACAATATTCTCCAATGCTTCTTTCCGCATTGTGTGTCCGAAGAAATTTGCCTGACGCTTTCTTATATTCGTCATAAGCTGTCTTCTGCAATTTGCTTCAACCAAGACTTCTTCATTTATTGTTTTTCTAGCTGTCCATGGGATACGAAGCATGCGTCTTATGAACCACAACTCTGTCGCCACAATTGTTCTTTCCAGCTGTTATTGATTGTCCATGTTTCGTACGGCTACCCGTACAATAGGATTGGCTCGATGTAACTTTTCAGTACTCTTTTCTCGTTTCTTATATTCGTCATAAGCTGTCTTCTACAATTTGCTTCAACCAAGACTTCTTCATTTATTGTTTTTCTAGCTGTCCATGGGATACGTAGCATACGTCTTTTGAACCACATCTCTGTGGCCACAATTGTTCTTTCCAGCAGTTTATTGATTGTCCATGTTTCGTACTGCTACCCGTACAATAGGATTGGCTCGATGTAACTTTACAGTACTCTTTTCTCGTTTCCAGTGACAGATTGCTGTTTGTTAGTATCTGTTTCATTTTGTGGAAGGTTGCTTTTGCTTGGCAAATGCGGCTTTTAATTTCGGTGTGACATCTCCCATCTGATAATATATAAATATTAAAAATGTTGTATTTGCTTGAGGGTGGTATCATTGATTTTGATATTGCATGTTGGGGTTTGAGTTTTTCTGCTTATCACCATTGTTTCGGTTTTCTTAATGTTTAGGCTTCTTCTTCTTCTTCTTCTTCTTCTTCTTCTTCTTCTTCTTCTTCTTCTTCTTCTTCTTCTTCTTCTTCTTCTTCTTCTTCTTCTTCTTCG